ATTATTATGTAGCACCAGACTGATCGGGAGGAAAACTGCAAAGTCTGAAGCTTTGGAGCTAGTTGTAGAGTTCTTTCCCAACGTCTCCTGGTATTACGCCGAAGACGTTGGTATATGAAGAACCTTCTTTTTTTGCAGACTCAGTTGTTTTGGTTATCTAAGATGGAAAGATTGGTTTGTGATGCTTGCCCATTGGTAACTGTCCCGTTGGCTCACGTTTATTATTTTTTCTTCATAGCTGTTAGGTTCTCCCAGCACAGACCTTGGAGAGGATCGGTGATTTCTGGTTGAATGCTTGGAATCGAGAGGGTAATATAGAGTTGTCGGTCACCGGGGTTCCCAGCCTTGCGGCAAGTAAATCCGTGCGTGACGTCTGCTAGTGAATGACTGACTTGGTTTAACAGTAGCCAGCTTTATAAATATAGTCTTTTAGTCGACGAATTGTTGCCGGAAATGGTAGTAAAATGTGTTTGTTGGCAAGGTAGTTTAAACTTAGGTATACTTTGGCCCTTAAAAGAACCGATAAGATTGATGGTTTAGTAGGGAACGTCAATACTTACAGTGGCCCTGAAAAGGACCAGTGGTAAAATTTCTAGTTATTCCTTTTATTATTATTCTTGATGATGAAGAGCCAGCTGCGGGTAGCTTGACTCTTACCCTCGGAATCTCTGTGTACGGAGACCGTACATGAGAGAGGTACGCTGCTGTCGCTGCTGCCCAAATATATCTCGTCTTCAGGTCGTTCCCCAGATAACCAACCTCTCATCGTTAGTCGGGAAAGTCAAGGGGCCGCCAACTTACTTCTCCCATGAAAGATAAGTACGGATAAAATAGGAGAACTAAAGAGAATCCGCGAGAAGTACAGAGAATTTGAGAGAAGCGTCATGATCGGGAGAACTAAAAACAACGTTGAGAAAGAAAGATCAGATCCGAGCCTACGAGAAAATTTGGGAGCAGTCAAAAGAAATTGAGAGAAGTTAAGAGAAGTAGAGAGAAGTAAAGAGTACTTAGTTGAGAGCAGAGCACAAGGAGTGAGCAAGCGGAGTCGTGTGGTTGGGGGAAGCAGAAACTATGGATTTTCTTATTCACTTCTTTCTACGTTCTTGCTCTGCTCCCAATACTTCTCTCTGCTTCTCCCGTATTATCTCTTCTTCTCCCGTATTGTCTCTGCTTCTCCTGAATTCTTACATACTCTTCCTCACTTTCCATATCCCATATTCCAGGGGCTGATAATTATGTAATATCAAGTATTAGGATTCCATGCGTATTATTTTGCATACTATTTAGCATAAGTATGTATGGTAAAGTGTTGAAAATAATTAAACAAAATTGTGAAAACACTTCAAGTATTATCATAAAAATTCTGATGAGTTTGTCGTAATAAAAGGTTTGTCGGATATTAATTTAAATTACAATTACTTGTTAGGATTTTATTTTTTGTACCAGGGGCACCCCAATCACTCGAAAACTCCCAATATAAAAGAAAACATAATATATCACCATCTTATGTCTGTTAAGCTATGATTTTTTTTCTTTATTTTGTTCAATCAATGTTCAAAACAAAAAAATTGATGCTAATTCTCTTACTTAACTTGACGTTTTTTATTTACATAAATAAGATTATTAATGCATACATATGGATACGTTATTAAAAATACTTACATACACTAACTTTCAATTTGTACCGATTCAATACAAGAATCAGATAACTCTTAAATAAAATAAATTTGTTCGAAACTATTGAGATTTTCTTAGATGATTAATATTGATTGAAGTTTATAATTTTTTCTGGTGCATTATTAGCACTCGACCCGTCCATTGGATACTCGTTTTCTGACTCTAATTCATCGCCAGACTTAGTAACACTTTGTTTTGACCTTTTCATTGGAGTTTCTTCGTTGTTAGGTTTTTCCAAGTCTCTCGCATTTAGTAATGACTCTAATTTGTCTTGGTGATCGTTATATTCAGCAGCATTAATTTTTTTGCTTTTCCGTTGTTTCCCATCATTTTCGTCATGATTAATGTAGTGCCTTTTAAAGTTAAAAATATTCCAATAAGTCTTTTGTTTTGTCAATTTACATTTCATGTTACACTGAGGACAAACCTTATCTCACAATAAATATTATTCTCAACTACAGATATGTCTACTTTTATATTCTCTAATTTTTCAATTAAATTTTCGTCTTTCAATTCCTTTTTTATTTTTTTAATAAAAATTCTCATTTTCTCTTCTTCATTTTTATTAAATGTTAATTTCTGTGTTTCAGTACTTTCTTTCCTATTTTTTGAAACTACTTCCTAAAATCTGATGGGCTGCTTACAAACAAAATCTTTTATTTTAAGTAACAGGTGTTTGTCACCAATGACGAATTCAAACTTCTTAGGATACTTAAGGTAGTTGTACAGGTACCGCAAGAGTCATGAAACTTTTTGATTTGTGTAGTAGAACGATCTGGCAACGTCGCTTTGCGGTCATGTGTGTGTGCCTGTAAGTGTGTGTTCAGAGCATCATAGAAGGAGCACTTCGTTGATCAGCTGTAGCAAAAGGAGAAGCGTGTGTATCTTTTTTTTAGTTAATAAAATAGTCATGCCCAAAGAAAAAAATAAGAAGTTTTTTTGGAAAGGTGTAAGGGTAAGCGAGAAAGTATATAATGCACGAGTAACTAAAAATAATAAAGTTAAAAATAGGCTATTTAATTATTTAAAAAATAAATATTAAATATTTATTACATAAATATTAATTTATAACATGTTTATTTCATTTTTAAGTAATATATGGCAATAAAATTGTTTTGATGTTCTTTGTATATCAGTTCGTTTTATTATTTATATATTTATTTATCATATTTATTTAAAATATACGTCCTATAACAATAATTGAAAATCTATAAGAGAGATTGCAGTAATCAGGATTTACGAGCAATCATATCTACCTATTTACCTTTCAAACCGCGCGCGTAATATCAGATTATGCGGCGTTGCCATATTTTCAAATAGCGTCTCACAAATGCACGTTCTTCACGCTTTACTATTTAATTACTTTTCTCACAAGTACCCTTGGAAGGTTTTGAAAGCGAATATATAATTGTCATTTAATTATCTTTCTACTGTCCAAAGGACATCAGAACCTATCCTATATTAGCAACGATATGAATGATAATATACAGACAGCTCCGCGGTTTCCCATAAGACGCCATGTTGAATTGGCATGTAAACAAAAACTCAAGGCATGCAAATAATTATGAATATCTCCCTTTATAGGTACCCTCGGGTCACAAAAATTCAGATTTCTAATTTTTATGCATTAATCTACCATCCTGCAAAATATCATAATTTTCTATCCTATATTTCAATTTGCTGTACAACTACCTTAAAATAAGGACCGTAGAACTCAAATAAAATTGTTTCATCGGCTTCTTCAGGTACCGACGACGTATAGATATCTGAGCGGACGAACTCTTCCAACTGAGGTAATAAATTTTCGAAACGCTCCAGCGTGTTATAACCACACTTATTTAATTCAATTGCAGGTAGCTTCGATTTTATGTCCACGCCACCTACCGGATCCTACTAAACTAACGTGTAAAGCTAGCGTATTTTGAAAATCTTTGAGCTGATTTATTGCTATTGTTATTAACTTTTTCAAGATAAAAACTATACTGAAACCGTCTAGAATGTGTCAATGATCAGTATGCAAAATTTCAGCCAGATCAGTTAAGTAGTTTTTGCGGTCAGCAATTACAACGGTTTTAGCGACTTTGCTTCATATATTAGTAAGATAAGATAAGATAAGATGGTTATCTGTACTATCAACTTTTAACATTAAAGATTGTAGCCGAATAAAGGGCCCAACCTATTCTAAGTGATTTTAAAGATTACGTTAAGGAAATTAAAGAGTAAAGTAAAAAGATACCATTACATTGAATTAACACCTTCGTGGTGATTTTAATTCGTCCCTAACCTCATAATCGTGATTTTTGGTGGTTAATTTTTTTCTCAGCTCCATAAGTATTTCAAAATTTGAAAACATTGATACAAATTTATATTTTTATGTAAAAACGAAAGAAATATTTATTGAAGCTCTAATCTCAAAATTATTAATTGTGAAAATAGAATATCGGTTCAAGCAGATTATTCTTGTGTTTGATGTACTCTGTAAAATTAATAAATCTAACAAGTATACAAAACTATTCGTTTTTTCATGTCATTTACTGGTTATTACACTATCTTTGATTAAATTTCAAATAAAACACCAAATATGACCAAAAAAAAACATATTTTTGACAAAAAATTTCCTTTTTTGAGGTTATAAAGGTTTTTAAATATTATTTGTAAAATCCAATGATGTACATGTAGCATTATATGTTTGTATGGACAATTTCATACATATAACAAAAATAATAATGTAAAAATAAATTTAGGTAATAGTGAGCCTTCAGGAATCTTCCTTTGAATAGAATAACACCACAAAAGATGGTTTTTATTTTTTTTGGCACCTTTCCTTATTAATTCTTTTATGAAAAAAATTTTGTACAAGTACTGTCAAATTTTAGATTATCTATATCTTTTTTGAAGTGGTACCATTTTATTAAAAATTTTTTCATTTTTTTCCCTGGGACGGCAGAATTGTAAGGCCTGGTCCAAACTGTCAAGAAGAATTGCAATTTTTGACCCTGGTGCACTGATGAGAGAAGGATTTATTAGTAGTTAATTTCATATGTTACTTGTTAATCTTTCCGAATATTGAAATTCTTACGGAGCCAAAAAATAACTTGAAAACCAAAAATCTCGATTTTGAGGTTAGCAATGAATTAAAATCACCGAAAAATTTGGAGAAATTAAGGAAGAAAATTAGCTGTAATCGTCACTTCTCGATAAAAAATACACTTATATAAATTACAATGAAGTGGAAGAATTACCGTGAATTCAACTATACTAAAAACTGGAAGGTAAAAATAAGTCGTAGTAAAATTTTCTGACTATATTTTTTCTCATTTCAGGACTTCCATATCAGCCATGACGAATTCACAATCGGCCATTATTTGCAAAAGGTGCCTGGATTTTCGTGCGAGGCCGGCGAGATTTTATGCGACAAAAAAGTCAAAACCCCCAGCCTCAGAGGTATACATGTAAAATACACATAATAAATAATCCACTCCGAACTCAGATTATAGCGTATGTTCGCCGTTAACGGGTCCCTCGAATTAACGACGACACACCAGGGACTACATAGCACATAATCAAACTTTCCAATTAAAGACCGCGATCACCTTTCCGCGTTGATATCGCTAATGAAAACATCGATAAGCCTCCGATGCTCCGATGCGTCGGTACATTACCGATCAAGCTTATTCATTCCCTTGAATTATGCGCCATATATTCTCGCGCCCGCTGCACACACGATCATCAGCATACAGAAAATACGAAAAATCACCACTGGCTCCGGCCCTAGAAGCTCCTTGTGAAAAATACGTCCTCCCCGCTAATAACACGCGCCGAGTATAACGGAGATGTAGTCCAACCATCCGGTGTACGCTCCGCGTGTATACGTGTACAGATAAATCAAGGAAGTATACAACCCATCGAAAGTTAACGGAGCGCGGTACCTTGAGATGCAGCATTCCCCCGCTACGAGGTATGCAAAAATCCAAGCTATTGTGCCGTTTGATTCTCTTGCAATAATAGCAATAATAATAATGATAACCAGAGGAAGTCGGACGGTCTGGTGTATTCTCAGGTGCAGCAGGTACAATGAGCGGCAGCACCGAGTTTTCTGTATACGTAATATATTGTTTGCATGCATATACGTATACATGCCCAACGCGGCGGAGCAAGCCATTAGAGCGCGGAAAGAATTTTAAATCGATAAGTACGCGGTGGCCGGTGAACAATAACTTTGCAGAGTACCGCCAAGCGCTGGCCCTTGATTTCTTTTTCTTTTTTTTTTTTTTTTTCATCGCTCATTCCTTTCTGCTTCTCTTTTTTTTCTTTTCTTCTTTTTCCTCTACTTATTACCCTCATTTTGCCATCCGCTTAATGAGAGAGACGTGCTTTTTCTCCTCTTTTTCTTCCCATCTTTCGTCTGGGGTATGTGATTTCACGTTAATTGGTCTTGCTCGAGTTGACGACTATAATGTGATGCGATTGAAATAGTAGGTATATACCTACAAACGATGATGACGGAGTTATCGAGTGGCGCTGTGACGCGTATTCTAAGCGGAATAAGAAAAATTTGAGACGCTATTCGCTTCGAAAAATCGTTTGGATCCTCCGTCGTAAAATTCATTTGGAATCATAGAAATGGTTGATAAATTTAATTTTGACACTCGAGATCTTATAAAATGGTGTTAGAAATCTCATGAGATCATTATGGATTCCCACCATGAGAGAACTTGATTTTAGAAAGAAACAGTAAATTTTTTTTTTCTATTCACCAAAAATTGTGTTAATATCGGTCGCATCGGCAACAGTGCCTATAATTACCTCAAACAATAGCTTATTTTTCGGTTTCAACGATGATAAACGGTAATAATAATATTTGAACTAATTATTTCGTACGCCACGTGTATACCTATATCGCATGCTACTACTTTTAAAGCAGTACGTTTATACGTTGGATTTATCATAAAACTTTATTTTACACAAAGTCAAAATCATCATCAAAACCGGATTAAACTAACCCCAATCATTATAGAAGAAAAAATACGCATTATTTATGAATAATTTTCCATGAAGCAGGCAATGAAACATTGGGAAATCATTTTGATCCCTTACGTAAAAATGTATGTATCCAAGGTGATATTTTGTATGTTAAACAACTTGGATTTTAGATGTAAAAAGTAAAAAAAATCATCATGTGACTAATCGTTTGAGCGAGACAATTCAAAGCTCGTGCTAGTGAAAAAAGGCTCGGTCGTTAAATTTTCACCGTGAAAGGGAAAATGTTTTGCTAGGGGGAAAAAGCGCGAGCGTAATCGACGACACCTGTCGCATCGCTCATGTAAGCTTTTGCAAACTCACGCAAAGTATATACTTATGTGCAAAAGGATAGGTCAAGAGCGAGCTAGCTATGTTACGTCGGGGGGAAAACATGGCATGCCCAACTTTATGCTCCTTAGAGTGGGTTTCGGCTGATTGATATAACGACGTCGCACGAAATTGCGGTAAACACCAGCACGGCGGTGCGGCTGTTAATCATTTGCGCGCTATGCCCCTCGCGATTATGATGATAATGATGAGGGAAAAATGTGGAAGAAATGAGAGGGGCATCGTGCACCATGAAAGTTATGCCGCTGTTTCTGATAATTTTCCTCGCAAGGTTTGTTCTTCATGGTGATGAGAAAATTGACTGTGACGCACATCATATTACGTCCAAACTGTCAAGAAGAATTGCAATTTTTGACCCTGGTGCACTGATGAGAGAAGGATTTATTAGTAGTTAATTTCATATGTTACTTATTAACTTACGTATGATATGTATTCGGAAACCATACGTATTGTAATACTTAAAATATCAAAATTTCATTCCAATATTTTGCCATTGTAAAAAAAAAGATATTTTAACTGATAAATTGTAAATTTTGTGTATATTTTTATTACATCAAATAGAGGACTGCACGTACTCTTGTTGTATTGCCATTCCATAGTATATTAATTCAATTATATTAGAGTAGTAAAAATATAAAATATGGCATGTTAACTATTAACATGCCATCTGTGTACAGTTAAAATTTAAAAAGTTATAAAGAAAATGTGAACTAATTTTCTGTTAACGTACTTGTACGTTAATAGTAAACAAATCCTTCTCTTAGTGTGGATTTTTTTCAAAAACGACGATTATTCAATCAGAAAAAAATCCATGGCACATAGCAAATCAAAAATAGCACGGATAAAGAAGTTTCTTTTCTAAATAGACATACAAGCTTTCATCTTTGGTATCTATATTTTCTAAAAAAGTATGACCCAAAGAGTAAATACTACTTAACTGATTATAATTCGTAAATTAGATTATTAGAACATATCCATGCATATTGAAGATATAAATAATATAAATTTTAATTAATATTTCAATCAATATTCATTGGATATATGAGGAAATCTACAAAAAAAATCATGTTTTTGTCCCCCATTTTAATAAAAAAATTTTTTTTTAGACACACCCTTGAAACCATTGTACTCGTAGTGTGATATATATACTACGAGAAAAAAATTTGAAACATGGGTTTCAGTGATGGTGCCATCCTTTTTTCGCGATTTACATGTTAAAATTATATGTATAGCTATCACATACATAGATATACTTGTAATATGTAAATCGCAGAAAAACGATGTCACCCTCACGGAAACCCGTTTTCAAATTTTTTTTCTCATACTACATGACATTGCGAGTAAAATGAACCCTACCTGGACGATGTGCCTGAAAAAAAATTTGTATTAAAATGGAAGACAAAAACGGGATACTTTTTGTGGATTTTCTCATGTACACGGAGTGAGAGAAAGAAAGATAATTTAATTGTTTTCGAATTATTAAAATGTACATGATAGATATTGGGCTGTTACACTCTTCGTCTACAACTATACAAATGTAATTATGAAAGCTCTGTAATAGAGGGAATCCTACTCCTGTCGAGTATCAATAAATAAATAGATAAATACATTTTTTTTAAACAGATAACACTAGCAATGTCATTGAACAATTTATATATACAAATTTCATACTACAAATAAATATGCAACTAAATGTTTTCTGATTCTCTTATTAAAAAAGTGCAAACTGCGTTGCGAAAACGTGCATTTTTGGTGCACAACAGTTGTTAAAATAGCTTTATATACAAAAGTCAAAGCTAATAAATTGAAATGAAATTAAAACTCTATAATTAGTATTTTTTGAGTGCTTAAAAGCCGCACGGGTAATAGACGTGTAGTATAGTTGTATGTATACGTTTATAAAGTAAATAACAAAAATGTCAATTGTTGGCCGGGTAAAGGTACTAAGAGTGCATAAATTTTTTTTTATCTGCTTTCACTCACGGAACACGCAACATAAATAACTTTTTTCATTCGACACTTCGTTCAAAGCTAGGATATGGGATCAGTATATTTTGGACTGTTTTTGCTAATAAAACTATTAAAGATTTGTTGAAACTTAAAGTTCATTTTGAAAAGGAGCAAGATAATCTTAAAAAATCATCTAATAGGTGCTGTCGTGCTACCTGGAGCATCAGGGCGAACCGCCGTGGACGTCCTACTTTGTACGCTACTCGGACGTGCTGAACGACCAGCGTGGCATGTCGCACTTCAACTGGTCGGTTGGGCGTAGCAACTACCACGTACTACGGACCGGCTGTTTCCCCTACATCAAGTACCATTGCAGCAGACGACCACCGCAAGATCTCGGCTTTGACGACGCGTTCTTCAAGGCGATCAAGATCATCAACCTTGGTAACGTTACAAAACTCTTGGCTCTGCTTTCTCTCTTTCACTGCGTCTCTCTAGTCTTGTCTGCTTTTTTCTTCTCTTCGTTAACAGAGATTGCGATTAAAATTGTTTAAATTTAAAGTGAGCTTTTTAATTACTTTTTAAATACCGTCGAGGCGGCAAAAAAATTGTTTCCATGTATACAAGCTGTTGCCACTTTTTTTTTTTTTTTTTTTTCGTCATAAGACTTTGTATATTTCATTTGTTCATTATATCGTCAAAACTGATTGACGACTCGTCAGCTTCTTTTACTGTGTTCAGTGAATAAAAAATTAAAATAAAATAATACAGACACTCATCAAGTATTTCATGACAAACGTTTAAATCCATCAGAAACCGTTGGAAGAGAAAAATCTTTCCTTAATGATTCGAGAGTATTCTACGGGCCGTTATTTATAATTCGACCTTTTTTGTAAATCCAGTTGCGAATCTTCTGCTTTAATTTATTACCTCAATTTCATCGATGAAATTCGGGTAGATATGTATTTTTGATGTGATACTCCCGATCGATCTGTCCTCGACCTCGTCGTTAGCTTTTTTTGGCTCGGATAGGAAAGCCGTTTGGATTTTATTGCACTTAACGGGAGTGATTTACTTCTACGGGTATTACTACTGCGATTATTGTTATTACCTTTTTGATGTTATCATTATAAAGTTGGAAATAAAAAAAATGTGTTATTTGATTTTTCTGAAAATAATTATAGTGCAACACCTTCATTATTTAGGTGTTGATAAACATCTTTTCTTACAGTAAAAAAACGGTAAACGAAATCGTAAGCGCAAAAACACAATTGTGAAGTTTTGTTACTACGAAAATCTACGATATTTTTGATTATCTGTGCGTGCTGTAGATACTTGCATCTATAATGTAAAAGTATAGGCATTCATGAATAGCATAAGGTATAAAACCGACTATGCATGTGTTGACCAACAATACCATGTATATTTATTTAGTAATGAAGAATAGTAACTCTTTTTTATCTGAAGGTACGCTATGTAAGGTAACAGCCGAAGAAAAGTTGCAAAAATGTACTTAACAACAACAAGAAAATCGGATACATTCCGTACTTATTTTCCATCTCGACCCCTTTAAACCACTGATATTTCTCTAATTTTTTAAAAATTCTGCCGTCCCAGGGAAAAAGCGTAAGTGCAATGTTATTCTTATGGCACATACCCTTTTTTCCCTGGGACGGCAGAATTGTAAGGCCTGATAACTCCATGTAAAATTTTTTAATATTTAATTACTAACTGATTTATTTATTCTTCTCGTCCATATACTCAATTTCATTTAAACTCACAATACTAATAAATTATTGTAAGAATTAAGTGTATGAACTGATGTTTTTTTCTGTTTACTTATTTTTTAAATTGACAATATATGATTCATCTACGAAACCGACAAGTATAAAAACGTAATAATTTCAAAAAGTCCATATCTGGTATAGCAAAAGTGCATCATCCTTACCTGAATATGGACGTTTATTTCGACCATAGGCCGTTTTTGGGGTACTGCTCTTAACATATGTTACAGTCAATTATTAAACGAAAAACCAGCAGGAGTGGACGGTGACACTTTCTTCGATCGTCGCCCTTTATAATAGAATTGCCTCATTTTTCATTATAAAAATAATAACGAACGCGTACGTACATATTATATATAGATATCCAATTAATTCTAAAAAAAAATTCATATGACATTTCCGACTCACTTGTGTTTTGAAAGACTGACGGCGTAAAACGACTATTCAACCTATAACCCACTAGTCATGAAGTATTTTAATCCATTTAGTTTTTGCTTTTTCATTGCAGGTATACCGACCCTCATGTACGGATTAGCGGCAACGTTATTGATTCGACACTCAGAAGTAGTCAAAACATCCAAAGGTGACGTGACCATTTACTTTCTGCTGCCCGAAGACAAAGGCTCGCAGCATTAGGAGATAAATCTATACATACACGCCTATAGATTTGAATATAATAAGCCATTGAGACTGGATCTCTTATGTATTGTGTGTGAATAAAAGTACTGTAAATATTCGATCTTTTGTAGTTTTTTTTTCCTTTTTTTTATCTTTTCCATTCCATTTATTAATTTGTTATGAATAGTTACTACTCAAAATACCTGACAAATACCTCAACCATTACCATGAGGAATCACGATTTTATGAAGAGAAAAAAAAAGAAATAAAAACAATTCAAACAATAGTAACACGATATTTTTCCGATTTTCACACACCATTAATATTGTTCCGACGTTGGAATTGAATTTTCACAACTTCGCAATTACAAATTACAACGCCAAATAAATGAAATCTCAACGGTGACGGCAAATTTATTTTTTTTAAATTCAAGCGATATTTATGTTTCTGAGGAAAAGTGCAATTCTTATAAAAAGATCGCAGGAAGCCATTATTAAAATTTACAGTAGTAACAATCTAATTACGAGCCGATAAGTTTGCGCTAACATTCGCATTGCGGATGAAGTAACGGAAAACCGGCAGCTGGAATTAGTGACGATCAATACACGTGTGTATATATATACACACACGATTATTACCTATATGCCGTACATCTCGGGTTTTACGGGTGTACAGATAAGTAACTCAAACGTGCGAGTTAAATATATTATCGAAAATTAAAAATGAACATACAGACTTTATCTTTACACACACCCTCTTGAAATAGTATATTCGTATGTATATCCAAGCTGTTGGATCGGAAAATACGAATGTTGGATTTGAATTTTTATAACTTACGCGTTGAGTTCCAGCAATTTAAATTAGGCACTATAGTTTAGTGCATCAACACACGGTAAATAGTGGCGTCATCGAGATAATACTTTCTTTTACAATAATTTTACGGTACAGCCACGGATCAGGTGGTCACATGATTAAAGAGCGCAGGATGTCACTCTGTAGGTTGTACAACCACGATTAAACCACATAGTAATCAAGCTTGTGATACGAACGCATTCCTCTACACTTGATATTGTATATTACAATTTTGCTTTAATTTGTTTTTCTCAAATTCATAAGCTTTATGTTTTAAAGGTAGTTAATAAATGTTTGGGGAAACAAAAAGATCTGGCTACAAGATTTCCTGATATGAATAAGTAAAAAATCTTTTGAATGACGTGACAGGGAACCTAAAAAACAGGAAAAAATATATCAATAACCAATAGACAGAGGGTGCTTGGGTACCCAAGTAAGAAGTTATACTTCTATAAAATTATACGGCAGATAATATAATTATAAATATAAACATATCTCCTATAAAACGATATTGTGTACAAAAATGGTGCAATTACCGTTTGGATTAGCAATTGCCGTTATTTGGGTGTGGTTTTAATAAATATGTTAATATTTAATAACTGAAAAATTATAAATAACATATTATGGCACAATACAAAATGAACAATATGAAGGCTGGCCAGTATAAGACTGCACTTTCATCGAATCTTCCGACGGTTTCAAAACAACTTCGTAAGAAAATAAGAAATACCCTTAAAAAATAGCAGATCCTTCAACTTCACCCTTTTTCACGCATGTTTAATTTTAAAAATTTGCAGTTTAACATGTAACTTTATGGAAAAATCACTTAAAATTGGATTTCTAAGATCTGTATAAAGCTCCCATTTTTTGTTCGTATGAAAGATTACTATTAGATGAACCTATTTCATTTTCAAATAGATTGTGCGCAAAAACACAATNAAAAACATTGTATAGACAATTATTTATTTATTTTGAAAGTAACAAATTATGATAAGTAAATAAATGTTTATTAATAACATATGAAAGCTGCTCTGCTAAAATATACGAGTTTTTTAAGTTTTTGAAAAAAAATTTGAATTAAAAATTAGTTTATTAAATAAATTATTTATTAATGCAAATTATAATCAAACCAAATGAATTAATATACAGAAAATATAAATTTACATTAAAAATAAGTTACGAACTGTAATATACCATCAAGTAATCGATTTTTCAGTTTTGGGGCCGCCCATAGCAGAATGGGTAAGGGCCTTGGCTAATGTCCAAGCGGTCGGGGGTTCAAATCTCTTTGGAAACTGTTTAAGTATAGAAGTATAACTTTGAGAAAACTATTACAAAAATAAAATTTCATATTACTCATGAGAGCAAACAGCTGTATCTCAGTATATCACAACAGTGCCGCTGGTACAAAAAAATACAATTCACGCACAGATGCGAATCAGTACGAGTCCCCACTACCAAAAATGTAATTTTGATTGTGAAATGTATACGTTTCGGGAAATTTGAAGTTGATTCAAAGGGTGCAGAAATGCATTTTATTCTATTCCTCCACCGAAAGTACCACTTTTTCACTGATTTCAGAGAAGAAAATGCAACATTCCCTCACTCTTAAAAATCACATTTACTGCCCGTAGAAAAGTATTTTACCGTCATGCCCGTGGATGGCACCCCCACGTTTAGCTCGGGAGGCAATTTCCACGCGGATGACGTTGAAATACTTTCCTAAATAGTGCAAATGTGATTTGTAACAGTGATGTCAATAATTGAATAGTAAGTCATACTTTATCATTAACGGTGAAATATAATTTTTTTTTCGAACTTTAAAAAATACGTATTTTGTTGGAGCGAAAAAAAATAAGTTCCAACTGTGAAAAATATAAGTTTTTATTGCGAAATTCTTTGTGGCTCCAGAAAGTTTATGTTGATCGAAATGGTTAAAAAAGTAATGCTTTATTGCATTTAATAATTACAAATATCGTTGGTGTGAAAAAAATAACTGTACTAACAGCGCGAAAAAATACTGAGTTCCGATACCCGAAAAAAATAAGTTCCAACCGCGAAAGATCAAGATTTCTATTTGAAATTTGTGCATTTCGAGGAATTCGAAGTTGAATAATACGGTCCATACGAGTGATTTTTTTTCCACTTTGCAAATTGCAAGTTCCATTACAGCGAAACATTGTATTTTTAGCTATTTTGAGTTATTTACGAAGACTGAAAAAGTGTAAATTAATTAGCGTTACACATGATGAAAATGAAAAGTTCTGTGATTATGATAAAATACAAGTCCCAGAGAGTGCGAAAAATTACAAGCCATGATAGTAAAGTAAAAATTTTCAGGAAACACAATATGCGTTTTTAGGCATTTAATGTACATTACAAATTAATATTCAAACATGTGATTTTTTCGGTGTTATTTATGAAAAATTCACAATCTCCTTGATCACAAAAAAAAAAAGTTCTACGAGTACATAAAATTATAAGTCTTAAAAAGAGAAATCAAAAAATGAGTATTGTAAAAAAACAACTTAAGCATACCATTAATATTCCGAATAAAATCATTTTTTTATTTCAATTTAACGAAACAAACCAATTTGTTAACATAATTAATGTTATACGTTTATACGTTATTTTGAGCCATTTCATAAGGAAAAAAAGTTCCAAAACGAATTTCTTTAGATTATGTTATTTGTTCAAACAATTCTATTTTAAAAGAACTGTATTATGTTTTATAAAGGAGCCCTTACGCCAGGACATATATTTTATCACCGAAATTGTGACTTTTTACTTTTGCCTTACAAATATAAAAACTCACCGTTTCCGTTGTTGACAGCTTTGCTATGCTGCTCCGCCTCGGGAAAACCTATAAAAAAAGAGATTTACTTATAAAACACATTTTTAGTGGTTCATTAAAATAAGTGTATAATTTGAAAATCATTTAAAACAGTTATTGAAATACACAAATATTTTCTAACGTCTTAATACTTAACATATAACTGTCTAAGGTAGGAGCTGTTGGGTACGGAAGCGCCTAAGCGTTGGACCTAAGTGGCGGTCCACGTGGTGGGAAACGCTCGTGCCACATTTATACACATTGTACTCAAATATTCTAAGAGAATTTATAAAAAATTTTATTTGTTTTTGTCAGTTTTAACAATTTTTTTTATGATTTTTAAAAATGTGAGGAAAAAATCAAAAATTTTGCCACTCTAACCTTAGTTTCTAAAAAGTCGTCCAGCAGACATAGATGATAATTTTTTTACAGCATTTCCTAATAAATATAAGAACTTTTCTCGAAGGATTACTAAGTTGTAGACCGGTTGCTTTCCGATTTAAAAAAATCCGTTTGCGCAAACCGTCCCTACGTTTCAGATGACAATTCTTATAAAGGAATAGTAGGTTTCACGTACTTTAATGCTACGCCTTTCATTCAGTTTCCAAACAATTCTTTTTGCATTTTAACCCCCACCTTTTTTTTTTGTTTCCGTCCATTTTGTGGTTATAAGCTAAAAAAAAATTACTAAAATACCAAGAACCAAGAATCATTCAATTGCTTTCTCCAGACTAAAATACGCATCACTGTTTTAAGTGAATTCAAATATCATGTACGTAGTAAAAAATTTTCGTGATTTTTCAACATTGGAAGTTGGAAAAAATCTTAAAATCCCACATCTCAGTGTGGATGTCGCTCATCATCGAGGTGAGCTGCGACTACTAGCGCCGAAGAGCTCGTACAAATGTGAATGAAATGGCTAAAGTTGAAACTAAAACCTTAACCATCTTACGCGTTCAAAAGAAAAGCGCTAGTGAACTTCGAGGGAGTGAGGAGTCAATGTCCGCCATTTGAGGCTCATGAGGAAAGGCGTGAGCTTGGAAACGCAGCAATTAGCATGTATATATACATGTATACATCATGATATACTAGATGATTAAACAAACTTCTGGTGAAGTTCAATCACTATTATACGAACAGCTTGTTCGAGGATATAAACATTGTAGTATCTGAATACTACGCCAGATGACGCCACAGTTCAGAATTTTAGCAAAGAAAGTCGGAGATATAAACATATGGAGATGCGAGAGTGACCTCGTGGGCCTTTTTTTTTCTTTTTTGACTGAGTAAAGAGTTTTTATTTAGTGCTATTTTTTATTTGTGCTTCCAGGGTGGCTTAGGCCTACCCTGGTATCATCTTCACCCCAGACAGTTTAGGCTGAGGGCAATTAATCATCTCCAAAGCAAGTGCTACATAA